CAGACATATTCCGTTAAAGGTTTCTTATTACAGGGCTATACACCTATTCGGCCCTGACCAAAATATTACATTGCTTCATTCCGCTAAGATATTTTTCTTAATTTTTCTTGACTTTTCTTGTACGAGTCGCCACCATTTTTGGCTGTAGTCGGTAATAATTAGCATGCAGCACACATTCTTGCATGTCTGGTCCGATTACGAATTTTGTCCGTGAGGGGCTCGAACCCGCACTGCCCAGAAGCATTGACCACTTGACCCACGCCACCGGGTCATGCAGACATCTTCAATAGCCGCAAAGCCTTCACGAAAAAAAAGACGAGGAATTTTAGCTTGCTTGGACTATATAAAGTAACCTCTTCGATAAGTCTACATTCGTTAGTGCACATCTCTTGACACTTGAAATGTCTTTTTTTAATCATCTTTCTGACCTGTCATCTAACTAGGAAGAACTGTGGTGTGCTTAAAAAATATGGTATGAAGTGATCAAAATCAGTAGACTATGATCGTATCATGACGGAGATAGAAAGGTTGTTGATAGATGCATCTTAACGTGCATGATTAACTGACGAAACACACAATTCTTCTAGATCTCGCAACCTCATCTCTAAACCTATTGATGAGTCTTAACTTGGTCCCTTGGTGGCTTCCATTAACCGAATGACTGTGCTTTAGTCAAACTTAGCTATGCATCATACTTGACCAAAGCCCTTTCAGTCTTCGTTGCTTGATAACCCACACCGTCCGTATCCATCATTTCTTTCAACCAGGCGAAAGTATCATCCGATAATTTCATTTTTATGTTTTTAATCGTGTCGTCGTTGAACTCAAAAACATGCCGTGGACTATCCATAATCATAACAAACATGTACTTCATCCAAGCATAGTGCAGAGATGCTTTGTTTGGGTCCGAGACAATTTGAAAAATATCTTTCTTTGTGCCAGAGGCGTCTTTCCAAATCCAACTTGGTGTGCATTCTTTGGTTGCTTCACGCAAAATTGCATTCAAAGCATCATTGCCGTAATGCTTACTTAATATCATTAGCGTGTCGTTCGGCACATTTTTGTTTGTATAATATTCGACCGAGTACTTCACAAACGTTTTGAAACGAGCTAACGTAGCAGAGTTTTTCGTGTCAAGTTTAAAGTCCAAATCATTGAGAAGGTTAGCCGGACGGACACGACTTTGATGCCACCACAGCTCCTGATCTGCCTGAAGTTGCTTGATTACAGCTTCAACATGCGGGGTACGATCTTCCACTTTGGGCGGATAAGCCAGTCTGAACACACTACTCTCGTCAAAGAGTAACCGTAACATACTAAATACGTCCAACGGCTCACCAAGATGATTTTCGTTGAGCTGTTCAATCGTGGTGAAAATATTCTTAAAAAATTTGTCATCAAGCAACGCTTTGTCCAAAATCATACCATTATTAAAATCTCTATCATAGTCCCAGTAGCGATTTCCAGGATGATATTTCTCTTTCATGTTTCTTTTGATCGTACGTAACCAATTCCAATAGTCTTTTTTCATGTTTATGACGTTATCTGAAGTACCCAATTCAGGTAATTCTAGCTGCCATTCGTTAACCCACTTCGACCACAAATCCCGTTTCAGTACCTCAGCAACGCTCTTCAGATTATTGTCCTTTGCTGCCTCGGTAATCATGTCGATCAAAGCAACGTCAGTGTGCACTGTATTTAATATCCTGATAGGATTGAAAGGGGTACCGGGGTGAGCGCTTTGGTACGTTTTCCCATTTATCAGCCACAGCCTTGCTGTTTGGTCAAACTTACTT